TGAGTCTTGTTCCCAGTCCTCCAATCATCTTTGTCCTGACCAGGTCTTGTGGAGGGCAACTGGAGAAGCCTCTAGAAAAAGGGCTCAGTGTGATCATGTTCTACCATTGGCACCCTGATTCTGTTGGTGGATTACTGATAGGAAGATCGCTGGGTGTCCATGGTCTACACAGACCTAGAGTCTAGATGTTTATATGACCAAGTTGTGTTTCAATTTATTTTTGGTTTTTTTTTTTTTTTTTTTTTTTTTTTTTTTTTTTTTTTTTTTTGGTTTTTTGAGACAGGGTTTCTCTGTGTAGCTTTGCGCCTTTTCCTGGATCTCGCTCTGTAGACCAGGCTGGCCTCGAACTCACAAAGATCCACCTGCCTCTGCCTCCCGAGTGCTGGGATTAAAGGCGTGCGCCACCACCGCCCGGCTCAATTTATTTTTGAAACAAGAGTCATGAAACAAGTGGTGCATGCCTTTAATTCCAGCACTTGAGAGGCAGAGGCAGGCGGATCTCTGTGAGTTCAAGGCCAGCTTGGTCTACAGAGTGAGATCCAGGATTAGGTCCAGGATAGATAAGCACCAAAGCTACACAGAGAAACCCTGTCTCGGAAAAACAAACAAACAAACAAAAAAGCCCAAACAAACAAACAAGAGTCTTGACTTGTATTCTTGTACTTACTAGAACGCTAGCTCCCCTTTTGCATGGTTGAATATTAGGGTTGAGCAGTCTACAAGACAATCAAACCACAGAGCGAAAAGGAAAGCACTCTGGGTACCTCACCTTCTAAGCCACTCCTGTATCTCTAGGCCAAGATTGTACGCAATGCCAAGGACACAGCACATACCCGGGCTGAGCGGAACATTCTAGAATCCGTGAAGCATCCCTTCATTGTGGAACTGGCCTACGCTTTCCAGACAGGTGGCAAACTCTACCTCATCCTGGAGTGCCTCAGTGGTAGGTGTGTGGGCTAGGCTGAGTAGTGGGTGGCAGGGGGCCAGCCTGGGAAACGCGGGGGAATTAGGGAGTCCTGAAAGAGACGGTTGTAGAGGACGGCTAGGAGGCTCACACACCATGCCTGGCCATGTCCATCTGTCTGTCCCTTCATTTGTTCATTCATTCAGCAAACATCCATCCAGTGCCTAGTGTTTGTGGGGTGTGTGGGGCTGCTGGAAGTTTGTGTTGATGTCCAGAGGGAAATTTCATCCAGTTTTGCTACCTTTTCTGACTGTTCCCTGTGTGCCAGACACCCAGGTCCCTATCTAACTGCATCTTGAAAGTCTCATGAATAGTTACTGTTTCTATAAGATCTATTTTTTAAATTTTTTGGTTTTTTTTGAGACAGGGTCTGCTTATGTGTAGCCCTGGCCTGCCTGGAACTCACTATGTAGACCATGCTGGCCCTGAACTCAGGAGATTCACCTTGAATTCAGATCCTCAAACTCGGGAGATATGCCTGTCTCTGCGTGCTGAGTGCTGGAGTTAAAAACATGTGCCACTACACCTACTTGTTTTGTCTTTTTGAGACAGGGTCTCACTATATAGCACTGGCTGGCCTGGAACTTACCACACAGAACTCAAAGACACCCCCTGCCCCTGTCTGGGATTAAAAGCGTGTGCCGCCACACCCGGCAGGTCTGTTTCTAAACTAGCTTTGAGGGTCTAGCTCACCTGGCTTCTTGTATGTCCTCCACTGATTGCAAGTGTCATCTTCCTCGAGCATGCTTCTCTAACTACCCAAACAAAGCCTTGGCCTTTTTGGTCACGCCACTGCTTACCAGGGGTGATTGAGGCCCACGCTTTCTACCTGCTTCGCCACTACTTGCTGAGCCCTACAAGCTTCTACGTGCATGCTCGGTATCCCTCTTCACTCTATCAGCACCCTGAAAGCCACACCTTCACTGCCCTTTTTCCATCATTGTGTTGAGATTAGCTTCCTATGGCCTCTACCACGAGGCTCTGTGGTGAAGTTCTCAGAGCTCTTACCTGGAATCCTAGAGCAGTGTGCGAATGTCTGTTTCCCCATTAGACTGAGCATCCTGAGGGCAATGGCTGGGTCTCCTCAACTCTGCCCCAGCTTCACCCAGCACAGGGCCAGGCACCGAGTGAGTAGGCGACGGTAGATGTTTGCTGATTGAATTGAGTCCCCACGGCAGCTCTGGGAGGCAGGTAGGGTGGGATCTACAAGTCCCATTTTTCTCTAGAAGAAACTGACACTCAGACAGCAACGGGCTGGGTCTGAGTCTACGGCTGCTAATGTGCTTTGTGTCGCAGGTGGTGAGCTCTTCACACATCTTGAGCGAGAAGGCATCTTCTTGGAAGACACAGCCTGGTGGGTCTCTGGGGGTGCTTGTCCTTGCCTTCACCCCACCTTTGCCCTGCCTTTACCTTGTCCTGTCTCTGCAGCTTCTACCTGGCTGAGATCACACTGGCCCTGGGCCATCTCCATTCCCAAGGCATCATCTACCGGGATCTCAAGCCTGAGAACATCATGCTCAATAGCCAGGGTGAGCATATTGCGTGCATGCATGCATACACACACATCTCCTGTCTTGGTGGGTCTGCAGGGCAGGACTGAGGAGCCCACAAGTAGATCTAGGCCATATTTTATCCCATGTCATCCCTTTTAACAATCTTCCTCAGGCCACATCAAACTGACAGACTTTGGACTCTGCAAAGAGTCCATTCATGAGGGTGCTATCACTCACACCTTCTGTGGCACCATTGAGTACATGTAAGTAGCACCTGGCTGGTCCTGGGTCTGAGAGACTAACCAGAGAGGCCCTGCCCTTACTGACAGTTCACCTGCCTCCCAGGGCCCCAGAGATTCTAGTGCGCAGTGGCCACAACCGGGCAGTGGACTGGTGGAGCTTGGGGGCCCTGATGTACGACATGCTCACTGGATCGGCAAGTCCAGCTCCTTGGGAGGAGGGTGGGTGTTGGGGAGAACCCCCCCTTCCAGGCTGGGGCAGGACTGGGTGGGAAGACCCCCTAGGCTGCTCTCACCTTCTGCCTCTTCCAGCCGCCCTTCACCGCAGAGAACCGAAAGAAAACTATGGATAAAATCATGAAAGGGAAGCTGGTGCTGCCCCCCTACCTCACCCCGGATGCTCGGGATCTTGCCAAAAAGGTGGGGCTCCCTCTTGTCTAGGGACAGGCTCCCATCTCTTTCCCCTAAACTCTGTCAGCAATTCTGTACATATGCTTGACTGTCCCTAGGCCCCAGGGAAGGCCAGGCCCCCCATCCTGTGCAGTTTGCCTTTTGGAATGATAGGAATGCTTTGGGGTTTGAGACCCTGAGTTCAGGCCTGGACTCTGAGAGCCTGAGCAGTCCTGGGTCTGTGTCTTCATCAGCAGGGTATTCTTATAAACTAGCCCTGTTCCATCAGAAATGCCGGCACCAGCCTCTTAAGCGGGGAGGAGAGTCACATCGATCCTAAGCCCTCTAAAGAGATGGCCATGAGCAGGAGTTTGCCAAGGCTTCATGAAGAGGGCACTCAGCCAAGCTCTGAAACTATTGAGGATTCAGTGAGCAGAGCCCGTATTCCAGAGCCTATACCTAGTTTCTGCTTGCCTTCTCCCCATTCTGGAGGCTGGGCACATACCATCAATTGCTCCCTACCCTCAGCTTTTCTCTGCTTCTGCAGTTTCTGAAGCGGAATCCTGTTCAACGAATTGGGGGTGGCCCAGGAGATGCTGCTGAGGTGCAGGTAAGTCTGGGATTATCGTAAGGAGTTGGGGCCAGAGAATGAAGTAGGCTACCACAGGGAGCTAGGCAAGGTGAATCACTGACATATTCCTGGGCACCCTCTACCCTCAGAGGCACCCCTTCTTCCGGCACATCAATTGGGATGACCTCTTGGCCCGCCGTGTGGACCCTCCCTTCAGACCGAGTCTGGTGAGTGTCTGGGGGTCCTTTTGGCTCCATGGCAGGTGGAGACCCTGCACTTTGGATCCCCCTAACTCGCCACATGGATCTTCCCACAGCAGTCAGAAGAGGATGTGAGTCAGTTTGATACACGCTTCACACGGCAGACGCCGGTAGATAGTCCTGACGACACAGCCCTCAGCGAGAGCGCCAACCAAGCCTTCCTGGTGAGGGCCTGGGGCTGCTGGGGACCAGAGCAGGGGTTATAGCTAGGGGCTGGAAATGCTAAGCATTGCCTGCCCTGGCCTTTCCCCACAGGGCTTCACGTACGTGGCACCTTCTGTCCTGGACAGCATCAAGGAGGGCTTCTCTTTCCAGCCCAAACTGCGGTCCCCCAGGCGTCTTAACAGCAGTCCCCGCACCCCCATCAGGTACCCAGGGAGAGGGCAGGCATGTGGCTGGGGAGGGGCTCTCTAGCACAGACCAGTACCTTTGGGCTGCTCTGGCCAAGCTCTTCTATAGGGCTAGCCCATGGGACCCCTGTACATCTGTAACAGGGGTTGCTAAAGTGGCAGTTTGTGGACCTACTGCCAGTACCCTAAGCTTAGGAGGCTCTCACTCTGCTTTGGTTTCTCCTGCAGCCCCCTCAAGTTCTCTCCCTTTGAGGGGTTCCGGCCCAGCCCTGGCCCGCCAGAGCCCATGGAGCCATCTCTACCTCCACTCCTGCCACCACCGTCACCACCACCACCCACAAGCACTGCCCCTCTTCCCATCCGGCCTCCCTCAGGGACCAAGAAATCCAAGAAGGGCCGCGGGCGCCCAGGGCGCTAAGAGACTGGAGCAGGAGGGCAGCGCTGGTGCTGGTTCCTGCCGGCTGTGAGAACCTGGCTGCCTCCAAGCTGGCTAGATTTGGGAGAGGACAGTATCTTTTGCGGGGTGGTTGAGCCCTACAATCATGTACATGGAAGGCTGCAGCTTGCAGCCACTGGCAGCGGTTCCCAGTGCCCATTCCATCAGAAGGGACTTCACCGTGTCCTTATAGAAGGAATTAAAGGACTGAATCATGGCAGAGTGGCTTTCGATGGACTCTAGGACACAAGAATGGCCCGTTTAGGGAGAGGAGGGGACGCTAAAGGACTACAGATCTCAGGACTTGAGAAGTTTTATTTTCAGTGTCTGCCCGGTGTGTGTGTGTGTGTGGAGGGGCACACTCTGGGAAACTGGTCGGGTGGCAGTCTGAGAAGCTGCAGGTGAGGATGGGATGGTGAAGGTCCGGGGAAGCTTGTGTTTCATCAGGACAACATGGGAAGAGAGATAGTCAGGGGCTGGGGCAGGGACAGGCCCACAAGCTGGCTCCTACAGTGCGGTGACATGGAGGCCCTGGCCCCCTGCCTTCCTGGCACTGTCATCCCAGGCTGCACTGCCTGAAAAGGCATGCAGGTCACTCAGAAGGGCCTCAGCGCTGCTGCCTGAGCCCACAGGAACTTGAGAGCTGAGGTCCAGGCCCCCTTCACTGTCTGTGTCCTGTGCTTCTGGGCCCTGCTTTGCTTGAGCTCCTGCCTCACACCGCTGCTCCTCCTCCCGGGGACCAGCTTCCTCGGGGCCACCGTCCATCATGAAATCCTCTTCGGCATCCTGTTCGTCCTCTTGCTGCTCTGGTTCCTCTGGGGATCCCAGCTCAGTGCGGGCCCGAAGCCAGCGGCCTGCAGGGCTGGCCCAGAGCAGGCGGCGGGTGTGGCCCCACACCGCAGCACCCAGGCGAGCTGGGTGGTAGTAGCCCCCTGAGACACGGCTGAGGCGGCGCCAGGCCAAGGCCAGGGCAGTGACAAGCAGCAGTAGGAGCAGGAACAGCAGGACGATGGTGACAGCGCTGGAGCCCGCACCGTCCTCTGTGCCCACCCCGGAGGCCAAGGCCCCTGGCAGGGCCAACAGCACCCTCCATCGGAGGGGAGCAGGCAGAGCCTGTGGGAGACAGTAGGGAGGAGTTGTTACCCATGAGCCCAGCCATCTCTCATCTCTGACATGGTCCTTAGTTGCCTCAGGCAAAACAGGGACAGTCAAGCAGAAAATCCCCAACCCTTATTTGGTCAAGGCCTTGCCCTACTGAGATCACTTCAACTCAACCCCGTAATCCACTTCTCATTGCCCCTGGCCTGCCGCCGCCTGAGGCCTGTGCACTGGCTGGCCCTCTGTTCAGAGGCTGTGCTCTCACAGCCTCAAGGCCACCTGCTTGCCATGGCCTAGGCCTTGCTGATGAGGCCCTACCAGACCTCTCTACTACCTGGTCTGACTCAGGTCCCTTAATTACTCTTTTCCCACCAAATCTCAGCAAAGAAAAATCTATTACCTATTCTGTTGCCTTTCCCACCAGAATAAGCTCCTGGATGATGGGGTTGGAGGAGTGGCGGCACCCAGAACCATGGTGGCACAGATGCCCAATGGGCATTAGCTGGGTGTGGTAAATGGCCTGCCTGGGCAGTGGAGGGAGCTGAAGGGCATGAGAGGCAGGTGGCTCTCTGGAGGCCATGATGGAAATATCTAGACCAACTCAGAGGATGGCTGGTCCTAGGATGGGGGTCTTTGAAGCCCCTCCTCCCAACCACGGGGCTGCCCCAACTGCAGGGTTTCCGTTCAGCTCCCCATTCTGCCCTGGCGGGCCTCAGGCATGCAGGGCCACGACTCAGTTTGGGGTAGCATGTGTAGCTATCAGAGGAAGCCTGCGGTTGGAACAGAGCAGGTGGGGGGTGTGGTAGCAGGGGTGGGGGAGGGGTGCTGGGTACAAGCCTCCCTAGCACACCAGGCTCCACGGAAGGAGTTATACCCAAACTCAGCTCATGAAGGGACCAGATGAGGGATTATCCCGAGGGTCTCAGAGTAAGGCTAGACCTAGAGTGAGGTACTGCAGGACCTGCCCTGAATTCCAGAGAGCCCAGCTCTGAGGTGAAGGCTAGGTTTCACCCCATGTTAGTCCTGGGCCTTGCTACCCCAGGTCTCTTGTGACGGGACCCTTCCTTAGCTCCTGAAACCTCAATAATCCATCTCCAGCCCACTGTGCCCCAAGAACCCAGAGGGCTCCACAGCTTACCATTGATCCGATGGCCTTTGCGTAGGCACCCACCTCTGACTCTGGCTGTGTTGAGTGAGAAGTGAGCCCCGGTGCTCTCAAGTATACTAACTAGTGTAGAAGTTACTGGCACTTCCGTTTCCTGCCAGAAACACCCCACCCACTCTTGCCTATCACAGGACCCTTATGGGGTCTCGGCCTCTCAGGATCACCCAGACCCATACCAAATCTTCCCAGGCCTCTCTAGGTGAGGTTGTGGCCACAGGATCTGTGACCACAACTCCAAAGAGAGGAAGTGTGCATCTAACTCAAAGCAGGACATCCACCTACGTACTATGGAGCTCTGGCTGGCTTGGAACTCAAGGAGATCCTTCTGTTTCTATCTCTGGAATGCTGGGACTAAAAGGTGTGTACCTGGCTAGCCTTTAAAAAACAAAACAAGGGCTGGAGAGATGGCTCAGGTGTTAAGAGCGCCGACTCTTCCAGAGGACCCAGAGTTCAATTCCCAGCACCCACATGGCAGCTCACACCTGTCTCTAACTCCAGTTTCAGGGGACCCCAACACCCATGGCAAAAACACAAATGCACATAGAAATAAAATATATTTAAAAAAAAAAAAAAAGAGGCAGAGGCAAGCAGATCTCTGAGCTCAAGGCCAGCCTGGTCTACAAAGCAAATTCCACGACAAGCCAGAGCTGTTACACAGACAAACCTTGTCTCCAAAAACCAAAAAACTAAGCCAGGCAGTGGTGGAGCACGCCTTTAATCCCAGCACTCTGGAGTTAGAGGCAAGTAAACCTCCGAGTTCCAGGCCACCTTGGTCTAGAGTGAGTTCCAGAATGGCCAGGGCTCCACACAGGGAACGTGTCTCAAACAAAAGCCAACTGTGTGCACGTGTGGGCATAGAAGGGGGTTAGCTACCTCTCTACCGTGGGTTCCAGGGATCGAATTCAGGCCATCAGGCTTGCTTAGCGAGTCGTTTTGTCTACTAACCCATCTCTCACACCCATCCCTAGCCTTTTTGCCTCAGTTTCTCTGCATGGTGAAATTCAGGTACGCAGGGGCTACTTCCCACATAGTTTGCAGCTTCCCTTCCTGGTAGCATCCCACCCCCTGACCCTCCACGGCAGCAGGTCAAACCTGGCTTTAGAAAGAGCATTTTATTTAGAATGAAAATATAGAACCATCTCTGCTTTCTCTGAGGAGGGGGCAGTGGGCTGGGCAGGTTGAGAAGATGGTCCCTTGAAGTACTTGGGAGTTTGCCTTGGTACAAAAATCTTCCAAAAGCCGGGTGGTACTTCCCACCCGGGCCCCAGGCTGTGGAGAGGTGCAAACTGGTCACGACCTGCCCAAGAGGCACTGAGCACAAACTGGTGCGGCCTGGCCACAGAAGCTAGGTGAGAAGGGGTGGAGGAGGAGGGGGAAGCAGTGTCGGGAGCAGGTCCCTGGCGGTCCTATGTATCCCCATTCTCCATGCGGCCCAGCTGCTCCTCCAGGCGGCTGATACGCTCCCCCTGTTCCTTGACCAGCACCCGAAGCGCCCGAAGCTCTTTCATCACCTCTTCCAGTTTCCCAGATTCCTGCAAGGACATATGGAAGTCAGAGGCCACCAACCACAACTCACCCCTATGGTAGCGGCCTGAGGCCCAGCCAACTGGGCAGCACCCCCAAATGTAGGACACATACACCAGCCCCGGCAAAGATGCCACTGGGAACATCAGTAATTGTGGTGGCTGTGGAGGGTCCAGGGCGGCTGGAACTGGCAGGCCGGCTGTCCGAGAGCACATTTCGCCGGTTGACCTTCAGATCCCGCTGTTTACTGGGCACATAGGCTTCCCGTAGTGAGATCAGGATCGGATCAGCATCCTGCCCGCTCACCCAATCCTCTGCCTCAAGAGCAGCCTCAGGTCCGGCTGTATCAGGGTACAGATCATCCTGGAAGAGGTCAGACTGCGCACCAGGTAGGGGAGGTCAGAATCAGTTGAGGGCCCTACCAGGGGTCTCACATCTGGTCTCTGAGTGGCTGCATCCTCCACATCCTCCTGACTTGTACTCTTTTGTTTGCTTGTTTTTGTTTTTTTGGGACAAGGTTCCTCTGTGTAGCTCTGGCTGTCCCGGAACTCACTCTGTAGACCAGGCTGGCCTCAAACTCACAGAGATCCACCTGCCTCTGCCTCCCGAGTGCTGGGATTAAAGGTGTGCACCACCACCACCCTGCCTGACCTGTACTCTATCAACCCATCCTCCAAAGGCCTGATCCCCAGGGACCTTCCGAGTTCAAATTTCCCTTTTCACTTTCTTTTTGAATGTTCCCACTGAAGTCTTGCCTGATCTTCCTTGGCACAACCCTTGCTGGCACCCTTTCCAGCAGACCACAAGGGCCAGTTATATGGCTTTGTGAGTCCTGTGAGCCACATCTGTGCCCCTCAGATGGTCTGTGGGCTTTGTTCCAGGGCATGCCTGGCACACTACGTCTGTGAACAGCAACTGGAGGACAGTGGGAATGTGTTCCAGGCTCCTGGCTGGGCATCTGGGGCCAAGCCGTATGTGGCCAGGCCCCTCCCAGTGAGATTCATGGCCAGGGCCCCTGTCCTTCTAGCCCCATCCCCCACAGAGCACCATCCCAAACCGACTGTTGGTCCTTCCTCCTATGGGAGGCCCTCTCTCCCTGGCACCCTGCTCTTATGTGCCTAGCCTCTGTCACCGCAGGGCCTCAGCTTAACCTGTGTCATCCCTCCACCTCATTTACCGGCCTCTCCCATTGCCCTGGTGTGGCCCTTGTGCGAGGGAAGAGTGGGTGGACGGGTGGGTGGACGGGTCACAGCAGCCTCACCTTTCTTGGCACAGTCATGACTATGGGCTCACACTTGCGCTCATGCAGCTTGTAGAACCTGGAAAAGGGAGGAGAGCCATGGTGGAATCCCCTGCAGCTCTCTAGTTTCCTCACCTGGACATTTCCACATGCTGGCCTGAGACACCCGCCCAGTACGTGACTTGTGCTTGTGGCCTCCCTATCTCAAGGGTTCCTCTAGAGTGACCCTAGGCAACTTTGTGATTGTGATTTTTCTTTTCTTTTTTCTTTTTCTGGAGACAGGGTCTCATTGTGTAGCCTTAGAAGTCTGAAACATCCTTGCTTCAAACTCATGGAGATCAGCCTGCCTCTGCAGGAATCTGGGATTAAAGGCCTGTGCTAGTCCCTTTATTTTCTGAACTCATTACAGAGCTAAGGATGACTACGCACTTCTCCCAGCTCCACCTCCTGAGTAAATTACAGGGATGTGCCGGATTCTGTGTTACAGGGCTGTGGCGGAGCCCTGGGCTTTGTGTTAGGCAGTCCACCAACTGAGCAACATTGCCAGCCCTTTCCTTGGTTTTTGTTTGAGACAGGGTCTTGCTATACAGCTCAGACTAACCTTGAACTTACTATGTGGCCCAGGCTGGCCTCTGTACTTGCAGACCTTCTAACTCCCAAATGTTGGGGTAACAGGTATATGGCACCATGCCCAATTTAGCCTCCACAATCTGAACTCTTACTGTGGATGCTGATGACCTGGCCTTGCTCAGCCTGATCCCCCCACCCTCCATCCTGGCTGGGTCCTCAAATAAACTCTGCCTATAGACAGCTGCCTCAGAGGACCTTCTTACCGGGCAATTTCACACTTGCTGACCTCCAAGCCCCTCTTAGGCATGCTACCCATACCCCTCTGGGGTTCTTTGCTGGTGAATGTATTCAGGAAGTGGATGTAGGGGGGCTCATTTGTGATCTCAAAGTACCGGATGCTGGAGTCACCCTGTGGGAGTAAGGAAGTTCAGCACTTGACCAGACCCCTTCCCTGCCTCTCAGCCCCAGTCTGCTGCCCCACCGAGCCTTACCTTGCCACAAACATAGACCACACTGGTGTCTGGGTCATAGAAGGGCAGCAGAGCCCCATTGCTTGAATCCAGCTCCTGCAGGGCCATGGGTTCCTCAAGGTTTTCCTAAGCACATGGGGGACAATTGGGCCAAATCAGAATCTTCTCATTCCAAACACTCCAGGACTGGCCTCAGTCAGTCTCACACAGCAGGAGGCAGCAACACTCCCCAACATGCTAATGGTTTTCTCCATTACCAGGTCCCACTCTCCCAGCCTTCTCCAGGTCTTAAGACTATTCCCAAACAGATAGGCAAGTGCTGAGAAAGTCTGGTTACAGGAAGGCCGAGGGGCCAGATGGTACCAGCCCAGGCCTCAAAGGGCCTGGGAGTTCACTTTGCCGAGAGATGGAGCGTAGCAGGGCAGGGACTGGGGGCTCCCAGGAGGAGGGTACCTTTATGGTTTGTGCAAGCAGAGAGAAGAATGTGCGAGGCACTGGAGGAGTGTCAGGGAGAGCCAGAGAGCTGGAGACAGGGAAGGGAGGGGCTGGGAAGGTCCTGAAGTCTCAAGGGCCAGGCTGAGGATCTAAGCAGTGCAGGCTTCTCCTCCATGCTGATCTCTGTCTGCCTGGCCCAGGAGGAGGATCCTAGGGTGAGGCCCAGGTCTCAAGCCTGCCTGCCTGCCTTAGGCTGGCTACATCACTCACTGGGTCCCAGAGTGCCAGTTGCCGTTCACTCATGCGGCTGAAACCGGTGGTGAACACCTTGCCATCGGCCAGAAAGATGGCCCGCATGGGCCGGGCCCCTTCATGAGCCTTCTCCCGCTCCTGTAGGACGGACAGGTAGTCAGTGCAGTGCAGATGAAGACCCTCAGCCTATACACTGCCATCCTTGCCCTCCGGGGATACCTACTGCCACCAGGGTGCCCCGCCTGGGATCGATGATGCGGACACTCTTGTCCTTGCAAGCTGAGCAGAAGAGGCTCCCATTGCGATTCCAGCTCACGTTGTAGATGAGGTCAGGGTGCAGGCTGTCTAGGCGGTACAGCTCCTCGGCAGTGCCCACATTCCAGATGAGCACCACATTGTCACAACCTGGTGGGCAAGCGACCATCAGCTCTGCCAGGCCCAGGCACGTAGCTGTGGGGCCATCAGCCCGCTAGCCCCACTCTGCCCACTCCTCTGGCACGAAACTGGGTCTCCCTCTTTGTAGGTCTCAGTTTCCCCATCTGTTAGCTCGGCCTGTGAGAAGTACGAAGGGGCAGGGAGCGGTGCAGACCTGCACTGAGAAGCACGTTTCGGGCTGTGGGGTGCCAGGTGATGATGCCCACACGCTTGGTGTGCCCCTCAAGCACCACCACTGGCTCAGTCAGAGGGGAGGTCAGCCCATTCTCTGGAATCTGCCATACCTGTGGTGCGGAGAGGGAGGATGGGCTCAGGCCTGCCCCGCTGCCAGCATCCATCAGCCACACCCCGAGACCCTCATTTGCGTCCTAGGCTCACCATGACGGTGCAGTCCTCTGAGCCACTGGCAATGACTTCATCATTGTGGGGACACCAGTCAATGTCCAGAACAGGTCCCGTGTGCCCACACACTGTCGGGTAGGCCTTGTCAATACGGCCTGTCTGTAGGCATTAAGGTGCAGTCAGAGAACCAAAAGCCCCGGTGCCCATTCCTCCCAGCATCTGTGACCCCTCCACGGTGTAAGCATGATGTGACGACCCTGGTTCCTGGCGGCCCAGATGTGAGTCTGTGCAGGAAATGCCTGCAGCCTCCTATCCAGACTTGGTGCAATAAATACTTCTACTTGCACCAACACCTTCTGGGCAGTAAATCTGGATTATGACTTATCCAGCCGTAGCCACGGGCCAAGAAATGGCATGAACTGCCCTGCCCACAGGTGTGGCCAGCATGTCCTCATTCCCCCTCTCTACCCTGACCCACGGAGGCCCACCTTGCTTAGAGGGAGCACCATAAATGCACCCCCACCACTGGCTTCCACTATCACCGCCAGGAACTTGGGGTTGACCGCGCAGAAGGTACTGTCCCAGGTCACCCGGGACACTCGAATGTCCTCATAGCACTGGTCATTCTTGACTGGCTGTCCGAACACATGCCGGAATTTGCTCTGTCGCACCACTTTGCGGAAGGACATGTCTGCAGGGCAGAGACACCTGGATCAGTTCTGGCCCTCCAAAGAGACACACAGAGCCATGCCACCAAGGAATTGGTCACGATGACACTGGGAGTTCCAGTTTCCCCAGTTACAGAATGGGTTTGTAGGTGAAGACCAACAGACTCTTCTCCCCCAAGCCCGTCCGTGGCTCTGGGGTGTGTGTGTTTGTATGCTGCTGAAAGGAAGACAGAGCTTAGATCTTCTGTAGCTTGGTTCCAAGCAGCTTTACATGACAAGAGTTTGGAGGCTGGGTGATGGGAAGAAAGAAGAGGCAGCAAAAGGGGCTTGGTCTTCCTACTAGGCCTCAGCTGAGTCCCAGGCAATATGCAAAGAGTGCAGGAAGTCTGGCCTAGGGACCCTGGCAGAACAGGGGTCGCGAGGATGCTGCCAGGTCCTCAAAGTAGCCTCGGAGCACGGTCCAAGGAGAACCAGGGACCCAACTTCCAAAGGTTCCTGCCCAGGAAAGGAGAGATGGGCGACTTGCGGGGGGGGGGGGGGGGGGGGGGGTTGGGAATGAGGGTGGGGCGCCGCGGAGGGAACGCGCTCTTCGGGACCACGCCCCCCGCCCCAGGCCCACGTCTGCGCCCCTATTTCGGCCCTGCAGCTCTCATCGCTCACCGCTCACCGCTCGCCAGGGGCGCCGGGGACTGCGGCGGCGACCTCGGGCGGCTCCGGATCCCGGCCTCTGGGAAGCAGGAAGCGGGAATCAGGAAGTGACAGAGGAGTGGGGCGGGGGCGGGGCAGGTCACGCGCAGAAGGCGGGGGTTTGTCATGCCCCGCCCACGGGGCGAGGCCTGGCCGCTCGGCCCTCAGCCAGCAGCGTTGCACCGGGCGGAGCTGGTAGGAACTGCCGCACAGGTGCACAGGTACAGCCTAGGAGTCTCCTGGGGAAGAGTGAAACTTGCCCTCCGATTTCCCTACCCAGTGCTGCTGGCCAGGATCCTCTCGCTCCGCCTCCAACATTTTCACGTGTTTTTTGTTTTGTGTTTGAGACAGGATCCTACTATGCACACTTGGCTGGCCTCGAACTGGCACAGAACTCAAAAGATCTGCCTACCTGCGTTTGCCTCCCAAGTGCCGCGATTAAAGGCATGTGCCACCACACCCAGCCATAGGTGCCAGTTTCAAGATTGGGAGTGCATGATGTCAGTCGACTATATAAATGGAAGTCCATCATCCATCCTGAAGGACATCCGTGGCTCCTGCTTGGGCTTAGTAAAAATCGATGTAGAAGATGACTTGTGGATCTCGCGCGCCTTCCTTCCTTTCTTCCGTCTCTTCAGAGCCTGGATTTGCCTCCTCAGATTCACCTTATCTTGTCTCATCCTGGAGGCCTTAGGTGCCCCCTTAGGACCCACAAGGTAGCATTCCTTCCTCTGTGCCCACCTCCCTGGGTGAGCAGTGGTGATGGGCGGATGTCTTTCCCAGAAAGAGAACAGGGATATGGGAGGAGGCAAGAGCAGAGGTAAGAAGTGCTTCTGTTTAGCAGGCACCAAGCCCCCCACTGTGTGTGGGAGGGTAGGTGGGCTTGTGTCCCTTTTCAGTGTTCACCACACTCTGAAGAAACAGGCAGAGAGCGGACAAGCGCTTGATTGAGGCCTCCCAGCTGGGATTCAGTCTTCGTTTGTTGTTTCCAAAGACTTTGGATTTCTCACTGTTCATAAACCCTGGACCCAGGCAGGCAGGAGTGTGGCTTGACTGGGTAGCAGGGGTTCTGCAGGAAGCCCACCCACATCAGGCCAGGTGGCTACTGTTCCATATTCCCCCACTCCTACATCACCCCACTTCAAATAAAATCCACAGTTCCCATGTTCCTCTCCTAGAATTCCTGTCTGACCCCTGCCCCGCATCCCAGGGCACCCACCACTATCCTCAGCATGTGTCCTAATGACACCAGACCTCCACTCCCACCTCAGGCTAGCACATTCTGTCCCCTTTCTCTTCTGGAAGCTCTTCTTGGCCTTGAGAAGGCCTCATCCTTCAATGACTCCAGGGCCCTGCTCAAGTGTCACCTCCCCTGAGGGCCCTTTTGGGCTCCCCTCTCACCCTGTGACTGTCTGGTTTTCCTTATTCCCATTTGTTGCTCTTAGTCCCAGATGCTACACTGTGTAATTAGTTGGCACTCTGCTAAGATGCCTGTCAGCAAACAAAAGACAAGGACTTTGTCACGACCCTCCCTGTCCTTCCGGTGCCCAGAAGGAGACCCCACCCAGCACCCAGCTTAAAACCACTTGGTCCTGGATGAATAAATGAGCAGTAGGCCTGAATATAGAATTGTGAAATATTCATATTCACAGTCCTCAGAACCAACATCTGGTTCCTTTGTGGGGGGGGGTGGGTGGAACACAGGGATCTCACCTGGAGGAAGGAGTCCCCCAGAAGGCAACAAGTCCCCTGGGGTGTATTCCCTGAGCTGGATGCTGGAGACTCAGGTCTCCATCTTCTCTAACACAAACCTGTTGTGTGGGCCACTAGGAAGGAAAACTGCTCTTTATCCTGTCAACTTCCCAGGGTGCAGCTCTTCCTTCTGAGGAGCAATTCTCCCGTATGGGTGAGACTCCCTTAGGGACCTTGGAAGTGGGGCTGGCTCGCTCCCTAAGAGGTAGCGCTTGTGGGTGGGTCACAGTTGGTGGCAGGGAAGTTTTTTTCTCTGACCTGATGTTGAGGAGGCTTTGGGACCCCTGTCAGGAGAAGGGAGAGGGTCGCTGCGGAGTGCCCCAAGGGAGACAGAAATCCAGGCTCTGCCTGCCCTTGGAGACTGTGAACTCCAGCAAATGGGCAGGGACAAGAGGAAGGTAAACCTTCCTGTGGAGGAGGCACCATGGCAGTGTAAGAAGATGGATAATGGGTGCCCAGGCTACCTGCCAGGAGGGCTCTGACCTAGGCCTCGTTTGGTCTCAGGGTGTCCATTAGCATATCAAATTAATGGCTGTCGGTGATTGAAGACTTACTCTCTACCAAAGAGCCAAGCAGAGAGGCCAGTCATTATAATACCTGTTTTACAAATGGGCAAAGCAAGTCCCAAAAAGTCTAAGAGCTTTGCTGAAGGCCACACAGTGAATGAATGGTGGAGCCAGAGCCCAACAACCCATAGAGACACTCTGATCCCAAAACATGTGTCTCCAAAATGGAAGGCTGCTCAGAAAGCTATCTGGTAAATGATCTTTAAGTATTTGTTAGAGCCGGGTGGTGGTGGCACATGCCTTTAGGCAGAGGCTGGCAGATCTCTGGAGTTGGAGGCCAGCCTGGTCCACAAAATGAGTTCCAGGACAGCCAGGACTACACACAGAGAAACCCTGTCTCAAAAAACCAAATGTATATATAATTTGTTAGAGGAATTAATTCAACAAATACTTCAGAAACATCTCTCCCACTGGCTTTGTTGCCTGTGGTGGTTTGAATAAGAACGGCCCCCATAGGCTCATATATTTGAACGCTTAGGTCACCAGGGAGAGAAACTCTGGGATTAGAAGGATTAGGAGGTGTGGCCTTGTTGGAGTAGATATGGTCTTGTTGGAGAAAGTGTGTCACTGGGGTGGGCTTTGAGGTTTAAAAAGCCCATCTAGGCCAAGTTCACTCTCTGACTAAGGTCAGGATGTAGCTCTCAACTACTTCTCCAGCACCTACCTGCTGCCATGCTTCCTGCCATGATGATCGCGGACTAAGCCTCTGAAACCGCAAGCAAGCTCCATGTACCTTTGGTACCTGTCCTGGACCTCGCTCTGTAGACCAGGCTGGCCTCGAACCCACAGAGATCCGCCTGCCTCTGCCTCCCGAGTGCTGGGATTAAAGACGTGCGCCACCACCGCCCGGCTCCCAATTACTTTCTTTTCTAGAGTTGCCTTGGTCATAGTGTCTCTTCATAGCCATAGAACAGTGACTAAGACGGTACCTGTCACCCCATCAGGCTACCATTATACTTGGAAACTGCCATGGCCACTCTGTGGCCTTCTCATGTGTGTCCCCCATACTTGTAATCACCAGCAAGAGAACATAACATCCATTATTCGCAGTGCTGGTAACTGAGCCTAGGGCTTTGAATGTTTTAGGCAAGCACCCTACTATTGAGTCATATTTCTAGCCCCTCCTTTTTTTCTTTTCTTTAGATTTATTTAATTTAACTTATATGTGTATCTGTTTGCATGTGTATATGTGCACACGTATGTACAGGTGCCCATGGAAACCAGAGGGGGCACTGGATTCCCTACAGCTGGAGTTTCATGTGTGTAAGTTGCCACATGCGGGTGTTGAGAACCAACTTTGGTCCTTTACAAGAATATTCTATGCTTTTAGCTGCTGAGCCATCTCTCCGGTCCCACCAGCCCTTGCTTTTTTGACCCAGAGTCTCACTATGTAGCCCAGGCTGACCCTGAACTTATGCGACTCCTGCCCTGGCATCCAGAGTGCTAGGATTACAGGAGTTAGCCATACCCAGCCCATTACCCTCATCTCACAGACCAGAAAATTGACATTAAGAAGGAGTTTGCAATAAACATGTAGATCTGACTGCACGCCTCCCAGCTGCCTGTAGAGCCTGCTACCGTGCCTTTTTATGATGCAAGTTTCCCAGGCAAAAGCTTCACCTAAACTACCCCTGTCATGGACACCTGCTGCTGAGCCACTCATGAATGGGAAAGGATGGTGGGGGGAAGGGAGGGAGACCTGATCTGAGAGCACAAGAGGCTGAGAGGAGAACCCTTGTTTGGGTGAAGAGGGGGTGGTTGGAGGGAAGTGTGTGGGAAACAATTTTCAGCACTTCCTGTTTTGTTTTTCCCTTGCAGCGTCTGCAGCCGGAGGGGAAGAACTGGCTCAGCCCTTTGACTTCCAGAGCTTTTGCCCTTCCTGGGACCATGGTGCCCAGGGCTCTCCGCCTTTGGGCAGCCTCCTGTCTGTGTCCTGGGGTTCACATTCCAGCACACTCTGCACCTTCCCCAGATCCTGTCCGACCCTCCCTGAGGGCTGGCGGCAGGTGACATTAGTAGTTCAGCTCTTGAGTGGAGTCGGACCTCGAAGATTCCTGAGTCTCCCACCCTCAAGAGGTGGCTTGTCTGCAACCTCTCAGGTGCTCCAGGCAGATGGTGGCGCTGTCCTCCTGCCCTCCAGTCCCAGCCCCTGAAGGGCCATTTTTGTATGTCAGGGAAGGGAAAGGTCAGGGAAGGAAAAGGTCTGCTCCGGGAGTTTCACTGTGGGCCTGGCTCCTGCAGGTGCCACACTCACTTTCTCATTTAATCCTCAAATGCCCCTCAAAGCATGCCCAGTTACCAAGCCAGGGTGTGGCAGAGCTGGATTTGAATCCAGGCTTGGCTGCTCCTCACTTTTGTCTGGTTGCACCTTGCTAGGGAAATCCTGTCCCAGGCTCTGTGTGCTGGGGGCAGGTGAATGTCTCAGACAGCTTGGCTACGCTGGGCCAGCTGGCTCTTGCTTTAGGCTGGACGCCTCCCCTCTCTACTGGAACTTTTCTATTTGGTGCCCAAGCCAGAGAACCAGACAGGAATGGGGAAAGTGAGGGAAGGGTTAGAGGGCCATCAGATCAAGCCCAGAGGAAGTACCCCCTGCTGTCTTCCTCCACCAGGATGGAGGCAATAAGGGGGAAAGCATGGACTGGGGGCCCTGGGGGCACTGGGGGCTAGAACCCAGCAGGACCATCCTCAGCGGCTCAAGGATGTTGGGTGGCTGTGTGTTTGGGGTAGGAATGGGAAAGCCGGGTGAGACCAGGGAGGCGACACTCACAGCGCGCTGCCTGGGACTTTTGGCTTACTGGTTTCACTTCTCCCCAGCCCTCCTGGCGGCAGGCTCAAGGGAATCAATGGGGGTTTTCCTGCTGCGTTTCTTTGTGCTGCCACCTCTCTGCCTAGCTGCTTCATTGGCTCTCTCTGACTCTCCTACTGCCCTGGCAGGCCTGGGCGTCCCGGTCACTCAAGTAGGGCCGGTGCTGGGGGCCTCTTTTGGCGGGACACTGCCGGGGCTTTCTTCCTCAGGAACAGCTGGTCTGTCTAGGTTCTCAGGGGCCCCAGGAGTGGGATCTGGGGATGGGCTGGGGGACCTTTCCTCACCAGGATTAGAGGCTGACTCAACCCCACAGGCAGGGGCCTGGGCCTCCGTGCTTGACTGTGGCTGGGCCACAGGATCCAACTGTGGCTGGGTCAAGGAGTCCACTTGAGTCTCCACCACAGAATTTGACTGTGGTTGGGCTGAAGGGTTCACTTGAGGTTGAGCCATGGGATCCAACTGTGACTGGGTAAAAGGGTTCACTGCAAGTTGAACTACAGGATCCAGGGGTGGCTGGATCAGGGAGTCCACCTCAGGCTGGACCACAGAATCTGACTGTGGCTGGACTGAGGGGCTCACCTCAGGCTGGGCCACAGACTCTGACTGTGGCTGGACTGAGGGGCTCACCTCAGGCTGGACCACAGAATCTGACTGTGGCTGGACAGAGGGATTCCTCTGAGGCTGGACCAAGGGATCCAACCGTGACTGGCCTTCAGCTGTTGGTTCTGGCAGAGTCAAGCCCACAGAGGCCACCTGGGTCTGTGGTTCGGCTGGTGTGAAGCTACCAGGCCGTTCCTCACAGGCAGCAGCCGCAAAGGACGAGAGCACGGCACGCAGCAGGGCCCGGAGATCAGCACTGGCTGCCAGGCACAGGAAAGGGCTCAGGCAGCTGTTGAGCAGGATCAGGTAGTCAGAATAGACCAGGGCTTCCCAGAGCAGGTACCCAGGGTACACATCCCATAAGAAAGCCAGATAGAGCAACTGTGCCAGCTGGTAGGGCAGCCTCAGAACAACATAGGCTGACAGAATCGTTTTGGCCACACGGGCAAAGCCGTGGCAGGCCGTAGGCCTAGGCTGGTGCCCACAACAGGTCCTGCAGGCAGTGGCTTGGGTAAGCACGTGGCAGACCAGCAGCAAGAGGAAGGGCAGGAAGCCCCCCAAGATCTCAAGCATCCTCAGAGGCAGCTCCTCGCTGTCCCAGAAGTCCAGGCAGATGACCAGGTCGTACCACCAGACAGCAGCCTCGGGGAAGACCAACCAGGGCACACTGAAGAGTGTGGCCAGCACCCAGACCCCAGAGCACACCCAGAGGGGCAGGCGGGCTGGGCGGCGCCCCGGGTACCAGCGTGGGCACAGCGCCAGCAAGCATCGGTCCAGGCTGAGGGCTGTCAATAGGAAGAGGCCTGAGGAGTAGGACACACCCCACAGGAAGTAGTAGAAGCGGCAGGCGGCCGTGCCCAACGGCCAGTGCCCTCCATGCTGGATCTCCAGGATTTGGAAAGTCGCTGCTGCCAGGAACAAGAAGTCAGAGAGGGCCAGGCTGAGCAGGAGCAGGGCCAGTCTCGTGCCAGCCCCATGCCGGGCCTGCGAGCCAGCCAGCCATGCCATCAGCCCATTGGCTGGCAGTCCCAGCAGCAGTAAGGCTATCAGGAAGACTGTGTCCCAGCTGCCCTGAGGGTAGTAGTCCTCGTCATCGAGCTCTGTGCGGGGACCGTGGCCAGCAGCGTCCAGGTTGGCTTCCATGGCAGTGTCCATTCTGGGTCCTCAGAGTAGCGCTGGACATGGAGTGCCAGTCTGCTGAATCAACAAATGTGTGATGGCTTGGTATGAGAGAGAGACGGTGCTGTGCACCTCAGGCCAGTCACTGTTCCTCTCTGGGCCAGTGATTAGCCTGTGCCAGGCTCTTAAATAGATAACCTCATGTGGTCCCCTTGGAGTCAATTTTACCAGTCCACTAACTCTGTGACTTGGTGAAGGTTACAGATATGGTCAGCAGCTCAAACTAGACTTAACCATCTTGCCACATGGAATCCACGTGCCTAAGTGGACTAAACCAGAGGATTTCAAGTTTATTGTGGAGACTGTTAAATATTGTCTTGAGACAGGGTCTTGCTGTGGAACCCTGGCTGGCCTGGCACTTACTGTGTCGATCAGGATTGCCTTAAACTTGAGGCAATCCTTCTGTCTTAGTCTTTTAAATGCTGGGCTTACCAATATGTACCACCATGCCAGCTTTGAGTCTTTAGTTTGTTTTCTTTTCTTTCTTTCTTTCTTTCTTTTTTTTTTTTTTTCGAGACAGGGTTTCTCTGTGTAGCTTTGTGCCTTTCCTGGAACTCACTCTGTAGACCAGGCTGGCCTCGAACTCACAGAGATCCGCCTGCCTCTGCCTCCTGAGTGCTGAGATTAAAGGCGTGCGCCACCACCGCTCGGCATCTTTTTTTTTTAAGATTTTTTTTGGGGGGGCCAGGCATGGTGGCAAATGCCTTTAATTCCAGCACTTAGGACACAGAAGCAGGGGAGTCTGAGTTTAGGGCTAGCCTAGTCTACTTAGCAAGTTCCAGGCTAGCCAAGGGCTACATAGTGAGACTGTCTCAAAAAAGAAAAAAATATTTATTATTTTATGGGTTTGAGTGTTTGTCTGCATACACACACACACACACACACACACACACACACACACACACACACACACACACACACACGTTGTGTGTGCTGGTACCTGTGGAGCCCAGAAAGGGGTATTGGATCCCCTAGAACTGGAGTTACATGGTAGTTGAGAGCTGCTATGTAAGTGCTGGGACCTGAACCTGGTTCCTCTGCAAGAGCAACAAATGCTTTAACAGCTGAGCCATCTCATCTCTCCAGCCTGCCTGGTTTTTACATTTTTGAGACAGGATCTCATGTAGCTCAAACTAGCCTCAGGCTCATTACAGAGTGGAGGATGGCCTTGAACTCCTGCGCCTCCCATATTCACCTCCCCAGTGCTGGGATCACAGCCGTGGGCCACTGTGTTCAGCTTCTGCAGTACTGAGAGGATTGAACCCGAGGCCTCGTGCATGCCTGGGAAGCATTCTACCAACTTGGCCACATCCCCTGCCCCTGCGTCTTGTTTCCTTGAGATGGTGTCACTATGTAGACCAGGCCGGTCTCAAAGTTTAAATGGTGCTCCTGCCTCTGCTTCCTGAGTGTGGTAATTATAAGGAGTGCACCATCATGCCCAACTTCAGCTCTTTTCCCCACAGTTTCAAGTCTTGTTTTAAGATAAAGTTCTAGATTGGACCATCTACGTGAACGGAGAGGGGGTGCTCTGAATGAAAGGTGTGGGGGCATCCCCCCCCACCCGCAGTGTTCCAGAAGACAGGGTTGAAAACCATTTAAAGGTAGCAATGTTGGTAATATCAGTACTTGGGAGGTGGAGGCAGGGGAATGGCCATAGGTTCAAGGTCAGCCTAGACTACAGGGTTTTAAAACCTTCTCTCAAACAAGAGCAACAACTGGTGCATATCTGAAACTTGAGCATTGGAGAGTGCAGCAAGAGGGTCAGGAGTTCAAGGCTAGCCTTTCATAATTAGGCTTTTGAAGCCAGCCTGGGATACATGAGGCATTATCTCAAAACAGAAAGAAGGAAAAAGAAAGAAAACTACAGGATTATCCCTTCACAAGATCCTGATATACTGGGGTTTCCAATATTTACAATTCCAGGAGGGAAAGCTCCAATAGTACCCTTCTCAGGATGCCAGGTGAGGTCTGAGCCTCCAGGCCCAGGCAGGCTGGCTGGGAGGGTCCTGAGAGTAGCCTAGGACTCTTCCGGGTCTGGCAATGGCACCTGTGCTCCTTTCCTGCACCTCAGAGTTGGACAGAGGAGCCGTTTGTCCCTTTGGGCTGCTGTGTAGAGGAGGCAGTGGGCTGCTGTGTAGAGGAGCAGTGGACTGCTGTATAGAGGAGCAGTGGACTGCTGTATAGAGGAGCAGTGGACTGCTGTATAGAGGAGCAATGGGCTGCTGTATAGAGGAGCAGTGGACTGCTGTGTAGAGGAGCAGTGGACTGCTGTGTAGAGGAGCAGTGGACTGCTGTGTAGAGGAGCAGTGGACTGCTGTGTAGAGGAGCAGTGGACTGCTGTGTAGAGGAGCAGTGGACTGCTGTGTAGAGGAGCAGTGGACTGCTGTGTAGAGGAGCAGTGGACTGCTGTGTAGAGGAGCAGTGGGCTGCTGTATAGAGGAGCAGTGGGCTGCTGTATAGAGGAGCAGTGGACTGCTGTGTAGAGGAGCAGTGGACTGCTGTATAGAGGAGGCAGTGGGCTGCTGTGTAGAGGAGCAGTGGACTGCTGTGTAGAGGAGGCAGTGGGCTGCTGTATAGAGGAGCAGTGGACTGCTGTGTAGAGGAGCAGTGGACTGCTGTGTAGAGGAGGCAGTGGGCTGCTGTGTAGAGGAGCAGTGGACTGCTGTGTAGAGGAGCAGTGGACTGCTGTATAGAGGAGCAGTGGACTGCTGTATAGAGGAGGCAGTGGGCTGCTGTGTAGAGGAGCAGTGGACTGCTGTGTAGAGGAGGCAGTGGGCTGCTGTATAGAGGAGCAGTGGACTGCTGTGTAGAGGAGCAGTGGACTGCTGTGTAGAGGAGGCAGTGGGCTGCTGTGTAGAGGAGCAGTGGACTGCTGTGTAGAGGAGCAGTGGACTGCTGTATAGAGGAGCAGTGGACTGCTGTATAGAGGAGCAGTGGACTGCTGTACAGAGGAGCAGTGGACTGCTGTGTAGAGGAGCAGTGGACTGCTGTATAGAGGAGCAGTGGACTGCTGTATAGAGGAGCAGTGGACTGCTGTACAGAGGAGCAGTGGACTGCTGTGTAGAGGAGCAGTGGACTGCTGTATAGAGGAGCAGTGGACTGCTGTGTAGAGGAGCAGTGGACTGCTGTATAGAGGAGCAGTGGACTGCTGTGTAGAGGAGCAGTGGACTGCTGTATAGAGGAGCAGTGGACTGCTGTATAGAGGAGCAGTGGGCTGCTGTATAGAGGAGCAGTGGACTGCTGTATAGAGGAGCAATGGGCTGCTGTATAGAGGAGCAGTGGACTGCTGTAAAGAGGAGCAGTGGACTGCTGTGTAGAGGAGCAGTGGACTGCTGTGTAGAGGAGCAGTGGGCTGCTGTATAGAGGAGCAGTGGACTGCTGTGTAGAGGAGGCAGTGGACTGCTGTATAGAGGAGCAGTGGACTGCTGTGTTGAGGAGGCAGTGGGCTGCTGTACAGAGGAGGCAGGATTATCACAATGGAGTGGGGGAAGGGACACACACCCAGGCAGGAGTCCCAAGTGCCTTCTGCTGCCCTTACTCTACCTCCCCCAGCTGGTGGAGGGAAGAAAGCATCCCTTTGAGGGTGGAGAGGAATTGGCTACCAGCTACCTATGGAACATGCCAGATCACACCTGGACCCCTGGTCGTAGCCAGTATCCCCATGGCTCCCCACCTCCACCTCTCTCTTTCTTGGCAGAGTCTCCTCTATGAGCTCTAGCTCTGCTGGCCTCAGAGTCTGGACGCCCTCCCTCAGGGCCTGTAGCATTGTCTGGCTTACCTGGGAGGTGCAGGCCGGGTAGAAGGAGCAGGGTGCTGCCTGCTTTCCCAAGGTCCAGCCACCAACCAGCCCCACGATGGGGCCTGCCGCATGGCGCCCAGTGGCAATATGAAGGCGGACAGGCAGGAAACTCAAGCTGAGGGAGCATCAATCATTCATGGGTCTGCTCTCTGGGAAACCCTAACCGTGGCCCCATAGGGCTAAGTCACCAGCCAGGGCCCCCCATCCCAACAAGGTTAGATAATGGAGACCCTTTGCAGGAGCTCCTAAGGCCCAGGGCATTCTGTGTCATCTCCACCCCTCTGTCAGCATCCAAGGCCTCTTTTCTAAAGTTCCATATTCCCTCTGCCCCAACTAGGATGTCACTCCATGGGGGACCCAAGGTGACAACTCTCAGCCTTTTCCAGTATTGCTCCTCCTGCCAAAGGGGCCTTTGCTACACTAAGTTCAGCCATGTCACACTCTGGGATGAGTGCGTAGCTCTGCAGCAGTGTGCCCCCATTTCACAGATGGGTAAACTGAGAGTTGGAAGGATGAATTGGCTGCTTCTACTAGATAAGTGGCTGAGCTTAATTAAGTATGAGCTCACTGCAGCTGCTGTGTCCTGGCACCCTCACTCCTGAGAACAGTTTTCAAGACCCATCTGGTGCTGCCAGGCCACCCTGGGGCAGAGGGCAGGGATTAGGCTGGCTGCCTGACTCGTTTACCCTAATCCCCCTCACTGTGGCTCCCAGGTGATCAGCTCAAGCCTGGGGGGCTATAAGCAGCTTTCTGGGTCCTGAGAACCAAGGGCACTCCAGGGAGCTGCATCTCTGAGTCCTGTTATCCTCTACATGGCAACAGAGCATGGCTCACAGCAGGTTCCTGACCCCCAGAAGACCCCCGAAGGAGTTGCATCTCCTGGGAGTGCTGCTGAGGGCTTCACCTTGACCAGAAGAAGGAGCAAGAAGGAGAGGCAGCTGCCAGGGTCTCAGAAGGCCAGTTCTGGAAAGCAGTCCTCTGGCCAGGGCTCTGAAGCCTCAGGAAGCAGCAAGAACCCCCCAAAGACTAGAGCGGGGCAGGATGAGCCATCCTCAGCACCGCCTGGGCAAGCCTCTCACCGACAGTCCCACCGACATCGTCCTGACCCCCAGCAGGACGCTGCCCAAAGGACTTATGGGCCCCTGCTCAACCGCATCTTTGGAAAGGTCAGGGGGTATAGGGGTGGGGGATTGAGGATAACTATCCTTATCTTTATCCCTGCATGTCCAGGCCTCCTGCTTTTTGTGCCAGATTGGGAAAGACAGGACAGGGCTGAGTGGTGGCTTCTTGTACCCCAGAAGACCGGGGGTGGGGGGCAGGCAATGCAGGACAAGGTTGGCTTTGGGACTGCTGGTATAGTGACCAGAAGTCCTCACACCAGGCATCTTGGAGAATTCATCTGAAGTTCCAAGAGGATGGGGAAAAGGTGGCTCTGTAGGATTTTACCTGTTTTTTTGTTTGTTTGTTTTGTTGTTGTTTGAGACAGGGTTTCTCTGTGTAGTTTTGGAGCCTGTCCTGGATCTCGCTCTGTAGGATGTCACTGCCTCCGCAATGCCTCTGCCTCCCAAGTGCTGGGATCAAAGGCGTGCGCCACCAATGCCCGGCTCGATTCTAGCTGTCTTTCAGCTGCTTTGGTGGGGCCAGCCCTGCACAGGGCACTTGGAGGGGTTGGAGGAGCTGTGGCAAACAGGGACATGTTGGCTTACTCCCCTACAGGATCGTGAACTGGGCCCTGAGGAGTTGGAGGGTGAGTGTCTCTCACTGTTGCTGGGAGGTGGAAGGTGACCCTGGGTCTGACTTCCTGGTCTGACTTCTGCTAACCCTGCAGAGCTTCAGGCCGCCTTTGAGGAGTTTGACACTGACCAGGATGGCTACATCGGCTACCGGGAGCTGGGTGACTGCATGCGGACGCTGGGCTACATGCCCACGGAGATGGAGCTCCTTGAAGTGTCACAGCACGTGAAGATGCGCAGTCAGTGATGGAGCCCTGCTGGGTGATTGGTTCGGGAGCCAGCCCAGTTACCTAGAGGGTGGGCGGGCCACAGTCATGTGATTTTTAATTTTAGTTATGATTAGTGGGGGATGTGTGTGCCATAGTGTGCATTTGGAGGTCAGAACAGAGCTGTTGGGAGTGAGTGCTTCTATCAGGTGGGTCCCAGAGAGCTACGCAAACTCAGGTCATCAGGTTGGGTGACGGGCATCTTTATCCCTTGGGGTCATCTACTGCTCTTGGTTCTTTCTTTCACTTTACAACAATTTCCAAAATGAGCATGGGATTTGCCATCGATGTACACATCCTGGCTTGCTTTCTATTGCAGTGATCAATACCATGACCAAAAGCAACTTGGAGAGAAAAGCGTTTATTTGTATTACAACTTACAATCGATCGATCGTTGAGGGAAGTCAGAGCAGGAACTCAAGTCAGGAACCTGGAGGCAGGAACTGAAACAGAAACCGTGGAGAAGTGCTCCTGACTGCCTCGCTCTCCAGGCGCCTGTTCAGCTACCTTTCTTATACTTCCCAGGCCCACCTTCCCAGCAGTGGTACCACTCATGATGGACTGGGCCCTCTCACATCAATCATTAATCAAGCAAATGTCCCACAGACAGGGCCACTCTGAGGGAGGCATTTCCTCAATTGAAATTTCTCTTCTTAAATGACCCTAGCTTATGTCAAATGGACACACACAAAAATTAACCAGAGCCAGGCATGGTGGCACATGCCTTTAATAATGTCTCTGGGGAAGCAGAGGCAGGAGGATCTCTGTGAGTTCAAGGCCAGCCTGGTCTACATAGTGAGCTCCAGACCAGTGAAGACTGAATAGAGACCATGCCTCAAAAAGCACAATGCACATTCTAGGATCACGCATCTCTTTTCCCCTGAAGTTCTTACTTGTCCCTTGGAGTTGTAGGGGACTAATGACATTTTAGAACTGAGGGTCTGACAATGGCATGGCAGTGCTTTTAGAAGGTATTTACTGTGTAGATGGCTTTCTTTTCCACTGCCAGCCCTAAATAATGGCACAAAGACTTATTATTAATTGTAAAAGTGTGGTCTTAGCTTAGGCTTGTCCCACTAGCTCTTATAACTTAAATTAACCCACTTATTGTCATCTATGTTCTGTCATGTGACTCGTTATCTCATCTCTCCATACTCTCCATGATGCTTCCTTTGTGTCTGACTGGTGACTCTGCCTTTCTTTTTCCCAGAGTCCTCTCTGTCCCTGGAAGTCCCGCCTAACCTCTTCCTGCCTAGCTATTGGCCGTCCATCTCTTTATTAAACCAATCACAGTGACACCTATTCACAGTGTACAAATATCTCACAATTTAGAGCTTCCTGCTTAGCCCTACTCAGCTAGAGCACTGCTCTGTGGAGTACCTTCTTCCAGGTCCATCCCAGGGTGAGAACAAGAGGGCTGGTAAGCCACCCAAGACCTCAAACAGCAACAGGATTTGAACTTGGGCTGCCTTCTCTGAAGCCAGGTCTCTTTCTGGCCCACTGGGGCTTCATGGAGAACAGGAGCATCCCTGACCCCCACAATAGCCAAGAAACCCCTCTTTGAGCAAGGACCTAGGCGAGCCTTCCTGAGCTCAGAGCCCTGGTGGGAAGACAGAGAATGTAGCATCTCAGTGAGTAGATTGTGACGCTCTGCTTGGGTCCACAGTGGGTGGCTTTGTGGATTTTGAAGAGTTTGTGGAGCTGATAAGCCCAAAGCTGAGGGAGGAGACAGCTCACATGTTGGGTGTACGAGAGCTCCGCATCGCCTTCCGAGAGGTAAGGAGTGCACGTGGAGGCAAGCATGGACTTCGTCCTTATTGGGAACCTTCAGGAGACCCAGAGAGGCAAGACTAGGGTCTGGGGACAGGTAGAGAGGGCTCGGCTTATTCCCATAAGGTCTTCGATCAGAGAATCCTCCTCTAGGAGGCAGTCCTGACTCCTGAGGATGGGAAGGGTTAGATACCTGGTGGGAAGCATCATTGCCCTGGATCAGGCAGTGGCAGGAGTAGAGCCAAGAATAGGGTGTAGTTCAGTTGGTAAAGTGAATACTTAGTATGCCCAAAGCCCTGGGTTCAATCCTTAGCAACAAACAAAACCAGGGCATGGTGGTACACATGTAATCCAAAGACTTGGGAGATGGCGAAGGCAGGAGGCTAAGGAGTTCAAGGCTATACTCCACTACATAGTGAGTTTGAGGCCAGCCAGGTCTTCATGAGACACTGTCTCAACAATATAAACCAACCACCTAAAGCAACCCAAGGAGGCCAAGCATGTGGGCCCACGCTTTTAATCCCAGCACTTGGGAGGCAGAGGCAAGAGAAACTGTGCATTTGAGACCAGCCTGGGCAGGATGACATAGTGAGACCCTATCTCAAATAAAAAAAAGGAAGAAAGAAAACAAGAAGAGCCACTTCGGGAGACAACGTGGGTAGGAGCCCCGCTCGGACTCTCTGTCTTGACAGTTTGACAAGGACAGGGATGGACGGATCACAGTGGCAGAGCTGCGGCAGGCAGCACCCGCTCTGCTGGGGGAGCCGCTGGAGGGCACTGAGCTGGATGAGATGTTGCGGGAGATGGACCTCAATGGGGATGGCACCATAGACTTCGATGGTGAGTCACCCTCGCAGACGCCTCTCCCATGCCTCTAGCACTTTGAACCTCCTCCATCCCTGACCTGGCTTGGCCTTCCCCGACCTGTCTCTCCTGCAGAATTTGTAATGATGCTGTCTACTGGCTGAGGCGCCTGCAGGGACAACCTACTGCCCCTGAGGCCCAGATACCGGCAGGATCCAGACGACCACACCCTTCCCCAGGATGGAGAGATCCTCCCCAACTGTAGAATGCCTCTACCGTGGCCACACCCGACCGACTCCAGGGTCTGCCTTGCTGTCTTTTTCTCCCACTCCCAAGCCGTAGAGGGAAAAGTCGCAGCTGGTTGCAGTTCCCAGTGGAGAACAAGATTCGAATCTCTCCAGATCCTGGAGCGATAGGGAGTTCCCCAACATTGGCTGCATTCCAAGAAACCAGGAAACCAGGCATAGTGCGCTGTGGGGGAACTCCTAGGACATGGTAGATTGAGAGGGTGACCGGATCATTTCCCGATACTTACGTGTATAAAGTGCTGCTTTGAAAAGTGAACTTGGACCAGGTAAAATGGCTCAGCAGATAAAAGCTCTTGCCACCAAGCCTGAACTAGATCCTTGAGGGCTGGGCGGTGGTGGTGCCTTCCTTTAATCCTAGCATTTGGGAGGCAGAGGCAGAGGCTGGTGGATCTCCATGAGTTCAAGTGCCAGCCTGGTCTACAATAGTGAGTTCCAAGACAGCCAGAGCTACACAGAGAAACCTTGTTTCAAAAAACCAAAATAATAAATAAATAAATAAATAAATAAATAAATAAATAAATAAATAAATAAAATTCACATGATGGAAAGAGAGAACCAACTTCACAAAGTTGTTCTTTAGCATGTGCATGCTCTGTCAACCCCCCCCTACCGCCCTCTGTCATGAATGAAAAGTGAATGTGAATCTGGGTGTGGCAGGACATGCTAGTAATCCCAGTACTAGCATGATGGTCCAACAACGAAAGAACTGGGAAGGAGGGGCTGCTCTGAGGTCTCCAAAGCTTGGGGAGCTCAATGTGGGGCCTGGGGGGAGCCGACACTGAGGGATTGAGGCTTGCGGGCCTGGGCTCTCACACTCGGCAGCGACGGACACCCATTTGAGTGGACTTCACTTAAGGTTAGCCTGGAGGGTAACAGACACAGAGTATACCATTCAAAAATCCAACAGAGGAGGCAAGGAGGAAAATGAAGAATTTTGATTTACACTAGAAGTCTGGGGAAAAGCTTTTTTTTTTTCTTTTCTTCGTTGAGACAGGGTAGCCTGGCTGGCCTGGAACTCACAGAGACCCTCTTTGCCTCTGTCCTGCTCCCGAATGCTGGGAGTAAAGGCATGCACCAGCCACCCACAGCCACTGAGAAAATATTTATGCCTCCTATCAGCGTGCTTCACGATAAAGAAACACTGTTTATGGTGTCTAGAGTTTAGGTCTCCGGCGTTCTTTGAGAAGCGTCGTGGCCAGCGCCATCTGGGTTAGAGCGGTTAACCAATAAAAGGAAGCTCTGGGTTGGAGTGTGACTTAATGGCACAGTGCTTGCCAAGCACTGGCAAGGTCCTGGGCTTGAGTGCATCACTAAAAAAGGCAAGAGTGAAAAGGAAGGCCCGGTGAGACGGCTCGGGAGGTGACGCTGCCAAGTCTGAAGACGGAGTTCAGGCCCTGGGATCCGCATGCGGAAGGAGAGAACCTTCTCAGTTCTTCTGACCTGTACACACGGCATAGTGCATATGAACCTCTACTCCCAAATAAGTAGTGCAATTATAACAAAAGAAGAAAGCTCATTGGTTACAATACAATTTTAAGCGATGCATACTGGGTCAAAGAATGGAATCGCAATTGAGTCTACTCACTTAACAATTTTTTTTTTTTAAGCCATGGTGGTACATATCTTTAATTCCAGCCCTGGGGAGACAGAGGCAGGTAGATCTCTGTGAATTCAAGGCCAACCTGGTCTAGGTAGCGAGCTCCAGGCCAGTCAGGGTACACAGAGAAACTGTCTTTAAAAAAACCATTATTATTGTTTGTGAGTACAAGTGAGTGCCTGCCAGGGTGAACATATGGAGGACAATTCTGAGGGTCAGTCTGTCTTTCAGCAGTAGATCTGGGGACTGGATGCAAGCTGTTAGGAATGTGTAATAGTGCTTTTACCCAATGAGCTGTCTTGCCAGCCTCAGTGAACAGTTTTGAAATTTTCCTTTGTTTTCTTTGTTCTCATTGTGATTATTGGACTATAACTGTGTGAGTGTGCTGATAATACAAACTGTGGGCTTGGATTTTGTCTTTCTCACTTTGCTAGTTAAAAAACAAATCAGGTTGGAGAGTTGGTGCAGTGGTTCTTGCAAACGACCTGGGTTTAATTCCCGGTATCCACATGGAGGTTCACTACCTCCATGGGCACTAGGCATACATGTGGTCCACAGACATGCATGCAGGCAAAACACTTAGTCACACAAAATTTAAAAAAAAAGTAATAAATTTAAAATTAAAAAAATCTGGGCGTGGGGCATGAGGATGCCATAGCACAGACGTAGAGATCAGAAGGAAACCTCAGCTGGTCGTCACCTTCCACTTTGAGAAAGGTGCAGCTCTTGCTGTCTTGGAACTTCAGATACCAGGCCTGCAAGCTTCCAGGGATTCTCCTGCCTCCACATCCCTTCTCTATAGAAGCTGGGATGACACATACACTACTGCGTCTGGCTTTATATATGTTCCAGATTCTGACTCAGATCCTCACAATTGCAAGCAAGGGCTCTCTCTACCGCTCCATCTCCCAGCCCCTCAGTTCTCTGTTTACTGTGTGCGTGCGTGCGTGCGTCCATCCCAAGGAGCATATGCAGAGGTCAGAAAAGAGTTTGTGAGAGTCCGTCTCTTTCCATCACGTGGGTCCCAGGGAGTGAACTCAGGCTGCCAGGCTTGGCAGCCAGTACCTCAACGCTCGGCTATCTCATTAGACCTTTATTGTATAACTGCATCAGTCCTTGGTTCGGCTAGCTGCAGAGTGGCAAGTTACTTAAGGTGTTCTGACTGGAGGTCTGAGGGTGGAAGGTCTGGGTGGGTCAGGAGAGGAGCAGGTCAAAAGACTAGGTGTCCAAGTCGGGCAGTGGTGGCGCACGCCTTTAACCCCAGCACTGGAAGGCAGAGCCAGGCAGATCTCTCTGAGTTCGAAGCCAGCCTGGTCTACAGAGCAAGATCCAGGACAGGCACCAAAACTACACAGAAAAACCCTGTCTTGAAAAACAAAAAAGACTAGGTGTCCACTCCTTCAATAAAGGCATGGACTCAGGTGTGCAGCATCCTGTTGTGTGGACACTCATGCTTTGGTCTGGAAGATGGAACACCCACTCAGCTAGTCTTTTGGTGGCCTGCAGAGGACACCATCCTTGTTCCGTTTTTTTCCCCTCTACCTGAGTTTTAGAAGGGGCTTGGGTTGTGTTTTTGTCCTTGGTGAGTTGGTCCTCACTTGTAAACTGGGGGCCTTGGGCTTCTCATCTATGAAATGGGACTGAGGCAGTAAGGATTCCAAGACTTGATTTGGGGAAGTGTTTGTCATAGCTTGTTTCGTGAGAACTACCGTGAACTCAGATTTCCTTACAGAGTTTGGGGTTTTTTGTTTGTTTAGTTTTTGTTTGTTTAAGTTTCAGACATTATTAGAGGCCCAAATTTTCCAAATGGTGGGTGCTTCAAACATTTGGTGACTCGAAAAGTCTCCTTGTCACTGTGGTGCTCCGCTGAGAAGTTGTGCTCCCACACCCTCTGCTCTTCTGTGCTCCCAATCTCTGGGCCTAGAAGTAGGGCAGTGGGTGGAGGAGCACTGCTGTCCCACATGACCCACATTTAGAGATGGCTCTGGCAGCCTAGGGCCCTAGAGCCCGGCTGGAACCAGGATAGCAGCCTCCAGACCCCAGGCCTGCGTCATCTCTCAGGGCCTTTGCTAAGGCCACCAGGACAGGTGCTGGTCTGTTACACAACGAAGACAGTTGAGTCTCCTCAGGGTTGAAGGCAGGGAGGCTGGGACCGCTTCTTCATCCAGCTCTGCCCTGGACATGATGGTGACCTTGGGCATTGCTGAGATCACCAGGCTGTCCTAGATGCCGTGAGAGGTTGGTGGTCCTCCACAGCCCCAGCTGAGTCCTTTACTAAACCTTTGTAGAAGAGAGCTGTGGTTGTTAGTGGGCTGGGCCAGGCCTGGTGGGACAGAAAAGTGACTGTCCCTGCTGGGAATAATTACACTTTTATTAGCACAAAATTACACCAACCCAGGATTCCAGGGCCCAGGAATAAACTAAGGCACACATCAGGTTAAGGGGCAACATCCCCAGGCTGGCAATGCCCCAAACTCCCTGAGCAAATCCAGACGGGGCTGGTGGTCGTGAGGCTCCCAGAGGGCCTTTTCCTTCCAGGCGAAAGGGACAGAACTGGGCGTAGGTTGGAGGTCCGCCCTGTGGACGTGTGGAGGTGGCCTGAGGCCTTGGATCTCTGGTATCCCATTGGCCAGCTGCAGCTCACTTCTCAAAGTAGGGCAGGTAGAAGAACTGGAAGCCCCGGTGGCCCTTGACAGCACAGTAGATGAAGATCACGTGGTAGACTGCGGGGCGGTGTCTGTCAGTAAGGGGGCCTGGCCCCGCCCCACCCATGCCCCGCCCCATTTCACGCCACTCTCACCTCCCGGGACTAACAGCAGGACGCCTGGCACGAAGAAGATGGCGCTGGAGACACCTGTGGTAGGAAGAAACGGACAGCTCGGGACTAGGGGTTCCTGGGGGCTGTCCGGGAAGACCTCCCTCCTTCCTGGAAGGTGGCTGATTCGTGCTGGGAGTTGGGAGGGCTTGCCGAGGACCCAGGCAGGAGGGGCGCTCACCTGGAGAGGGGGCCACCTCCAGTCCCACGCCGACCAGGATAAGCACTGCACACACATGGGGTCGTGGAGGGAAGGACAGGCGGAGTGAGGGCAGGATCTTCCACACCTGCCTCTCAGCCCGGCTCCCACCTGATGTCGCCCACCTAAACTGCTGTCCACTGGGCAGCATACCTCCCCAGGATGCTCACCAAGCTGTGTTTTCAGGGCGGCATACTTGGCAGGCCCTGGGAAATAGCTATGAAATGGGAGTTTTTACTGCTGTTTGGTGTGACCTTTCAGTCACTCAACAAACACTTACTGAACGTCCTCTGCATGCCTGGTACCAAGAATTCCACCATAAAAGGCAGATAGGGGCCTGGCATGGTAGTGCATACCTTTAATCCCAGTACTCAGGAGGGAGAGGCAGACAGATCTCTGTGAGACCAAGCTGGTCTACAGAGTGAGTTCCAGGACAACTGGGGCTACACAAAGAGACCCTGTTTCCTCCAGAAAAAAGGCAGATGGGGGATGACAGCAAGATGGCTCAATGGGTAGGGGAGCTTGCCATCAAGCCCAGCTACTTGACTTCAATCCCTTGGACCCACATGGTGGAAGCAGAGAGCTGAATCTTGCAATAATTCTCTGACCCCACTTGGGCTGTGGCATGTATCCTCCTTCAACCCCTACATACACACAAAAGAAAAAATAAATGTAACAGGAAAGCAGATAGATCTTTGTCTCATGGCCCTTCTTACTGGAGGGACCAACAAGACCCTGAAAGCTATGATCCACATTCGGGAAGAGGTCTGTGGGAACTTGAAGCAGCTGCCTCCAGTCAGTCCAGGGAACAGTAACAGCACTGCCAGGCCCCGAGCTAAGCATTCTATGAGATGCCTTGATGAACTAAACCACGCCCCAGTGGGACACAGAGAAGCTGTTCCCGTGGCAGTCATCCAGGCAGAGAAAGAATTCAGGAGAGAACTCAGAGTCTGGAGGGAACCCGAGGCTTTATAAGAGCCACCAGCACTTGATGAGACTGAACAAGAAGAACCTGGGCTGGAGAAGTCTGGGATGGCCTGCTGTCCCAGGCTGGGATGTGGCCTTTGGTGGACAGGTCATACCTGGACCCACTTTTCCTATCTGTCCTCGAGGACTCTTGGGGTAGGGTGGAGCCAGGGGGCCTGTGGGGCCACCATGGACTTTTTTTTTTTTAATGTATACAGTATTCTGCTTTCACGCATGCCTGCTTGTCAGAAGAGGGCACCAGATCTCATTATAGATGGTTGTGAGCCACCATGTGGGTGCTGGGAATTGAACTCAGGACCTCTGGAAGAGCAGCCAGTGCTCTTCACCTCTGAGCCATCATCTCTCCAGCCCCACTCAGGACTTTTGTAGACATCATGTTTTACAAAGAGCACCTCAGAAGGAGGTTCACACTCACTCCCTGAACCAGCTTAGGGCTGCAGGTTCTGCTGTTAGAGTAAACATCTTTTTCTAATTCCCTAGAGCCCTTGGTGGCTCTCTGGTGATCTCTATGAGCCTTGGCAGTCACCGGTGTGGGTCTAAATCCCAGCTCATCTTCCTCCCAGCTGCAACCTGAGGAAGCCCCTCTCCAGCCCCAGCCTGTGTCCTTACTTCCAAAATCAGGACGCTATCAATGCTTGGCTTTGCTGGGTTGAGGAGAAGCTGGCAGTAGGTGTCACCAGTGCCTGGCCTGCAGTGGTGCTGGCAGGTGGCAGCTCTGTCCCCTGCACTCAAACACCTAGAGGTGAAGATTGGATTTCTGGCCAGGAGACCTAGCTGGCTGGGGCCTTTGACCTTCCTGGAGAAGGAAGGGAAGGAGACCAAGGGTGGCAGCCACAGTTGGTCCTTCCTTATGACCCCTGTTGATCTCAACCCTGGATGTTCTGAGGACTTTTCATCTCCGTCCCGTAAAGAAGTCAGAAATAACTGGCTGTGAAACCTGCCTGTGCTGGGCCTCAGTTTCCCTACTGAACAGTGTGAGATAGAAAAAGGTCCTGGTCAGATCACATACCCCAGAGAAGAAGAAGCAGGCCTGATGCCTGGCCTCAGGGACACTAGTGTCCTGAGCACTGGGCTGCCTTCACAAACAGGCTCTGGCCTCTGCCTCTTACTTGCCACCTCTGTAAGGTGGGGGGAAATGGACCTGGCAGTAGTCAACACAGAATAAATGGAAGCTGTTACCTCTCCATTCTCTGGTCCTATGGTAGACTAAACAGATTAAATTTAAAAAGGAAATAAGTAGTGAGGAGGTGGGGTAGGGTGTGGGAGGGGGGTGAGGCACATGGCTTTAGTCCCAGCACTCAGGAGTCAGAGGCAGGATCTCTGAGTTTGAGGCCAGCCTGGTCTACAGAGCAAGTTCCAGGACAACCAAGTCTACACAGACAAACTCTGTCTCAAAAAAAAAACAATAAATAGATGGAAAGATACATAAATACATAAATAAATAAATAAAATAAAGT